AAAATCTAAGCATTTTTTGGATATGAGCCCTCTAATACAAAGTTGTAGATATAATCAAGATCAATAACTTTCATGTTTAAAGTTTCCTTTCAATCATCTAGCATCTTGGTAAAAAAATTGGCATGAAGTCGTGAAATTATCATGTACAAAAACACTTAGAAAAATTTCTAAGTCTTGAAAAGTTTGACTTTTCAAATTGACTTTTGAATTTCTTGATTTCTTGATGATCAAGCTTCATATTTTGAATGTCTTTATGAATTGTGATTTTTGAAACTCAAATTTTGACCAAAAAGTCAAAGTTTAACTTTTGGTATATCGGTTGACTTTTCATCAGTTGACCAAAAATTCAACTATCAATTAATTGCTTTTGAAAGATGATTTGAGCCATGAGATTAGGTAAATGTGTTGCATTTGAATCCTTTAGATTGTGCTTCAAGCCATTGTATCATGTATTAGGTCAAAAGTCAATGATCAGCCAATTACAGTCGAAATCCTAATTTGGACCATTTTGCCCTTTTGGTAAATTTAGTGCTTTTATTTAGGGATTATGATCAATAATTGATCAAGTGATGAATAAGACCTTAAAATGTTGATGTTGGCTAAAAATCATGAAGTTTGACTGTAGGTTGACCACAACTGACTTTTTACCCAATGCAGCTGATTTGCAGTCATCTGGTCAATTAACTGAGCAAAATTGTGATTCAGGACTTGAAACTTGACATGAGTATTCTTGGAGGTCTAAAATGATTCATGAAAGTCATTTGAGGCATTATAAGTCCAATTTTCCTTGTAAAAATCAAAATCCTAATTTGAAGCATCTGTGTTTAGGAGATGGTTTAACCTAGTCAACACTTGTGCAATTTTGAGCCATTGAAGATCTTGTGAGAAATGTGTTGAGAAAAGAGAGGGAAAATTTTGGGGTACAAAAGTAGGCACATCAAATCAGGTGGTAAAGGAGATATTTCGATTGTCAAGAAGGATGGTCGAAAAGCTATTATCACTGAAGTGTTTTATGTACCTTCTATGACAAGTAACTTGATAAGTGTAGGTCAAATACTTGTAAAAGGCTTCAATATAAAGCTGGAGAAGAATCAGATGAATGTATGTAGGACTGATGGGAGGCTAATAATGAAATCACCATTGATGAAGAACAAAATGTTCAAAGTTTAACTTAATACATCAGATCACAAATGTCTTGCTTCAACTATAGAAGAAGACAAGAACTGGCTATGGCATCACAGGTATGGATATCTAAACTTCAGAAGTTTATGCATGCTCAATCAGAAAAGGATGGTGTTTGGGTTTCCGTATGTAAAGGAACTAAAGTAGGTATGCATGGAATATTGTAAAGCAAAACAGGCTAGGAAGGCATTCAAACATGACTTTCTCGTGAAATTAAAGCAAAAACTGGAGTTGGTTCCTTCGGATGTGTGTGGATCTTTTGAAGTAAAGTCAAATGGAGGTAGCAGGTATTTCCTTACTTTCATTGATGAATTCACCAGACATATGTGGATTTACCTTATTGAAAGGAAGAGTGAGGTATTCACACAGTTCAAGAAGTTCAAGTTGCATGCTGAGAAACAAAGTGGCTGCAAATTGAAGAAGTTAAGAACTGATGGTGGTAGTGAATATACGTCTGTTGAATTTGCTAGATTTTGCAATGAGGAAGGTATAGAGCATAAGGTTATTGCAACCTATACGCCTCAGCATAATGGCATAGCTGAGTGAAAGAATAGAAGTATGTTGAAAGCTAAAGATATGCCTAAGAGATTTTAGGTTGAAGCATCTTTTCTTACATCAGTATATATTCTAAATAGATGCCCAACGAAGAAGATGATCGAAAAGACACCTCATGAGGCTTGGACAAGATCCAAGCCAAATGTGAGTCATCTTAGAGTTTTTGAATCAATGTGATCCAGGCATGTACCTGAACAATTGAGAAAGAAGTTAGATGATATAAGTGAAATCCAGGTGCTCATAGATTATCATTCGACTGGTACATACAAGTTGTATTCACCAAACAAAGATAAACTAGTGATCAGTCGAAGTGTTCTTGTAGATTAAAGAAAGGGGTGGGACTGGAGTCGAAGTTCAGTTCGACAAGAATCAAATACACTCACAATTGTGTTCGAAGAAGATGAACAAAATGAAACTTCAACCAGTCGAAATGAACAAGATGATGCTTCAACTAGTCAAAATGAAGAACCACCTGTGCAGAATGTAAGAAGGACGATAAGAACAAAAACATAGTCGACAAGGATAACTAGATATGGAAGGTTTCCAGATCAAGCAATTGATGTCGATGGTGACTTAATCAAAAAATCCATGATGATGGTTGAAACATAACGAATTGATTTGGGTGAAGCCATGAGCAATTCGAATTGGTGTGAAGCCATGAAAGAAGAACTCAAAGCTATTGAGAAGAACAAGACCTGGAAGCTTGTCGAGAGAATAAATAAGAAACCAATCAATGTAAAGTGTATTTACAAGGTGGAACGAAGGCCAAATGGTGAGATTGCGAAGTATAAAGCACGATTGGTGGCAAGAGGTTTCCTATAAAAACTTAGTATCGCCTTCGACGAAGTATATGTGCCTGTTACGTGGCTAGAAACAATCAGAATTGTTATTTCACAGCAGCATATAGAGGATGGGAGATGCATTAGTTGGATGTAAAGTCCACATTCCTGAATGGTCCATTGGAAGAAAAAGTGTATGTTACTCAATCACCGGGATTCAACGTCAAAGGGCATGAGTCGAAGGTATATAAATTAAGGAAGGTTCTTTGTGGTTTGAAACAAGCCCCTAGAGCTTGGAATAAGAGAATAGATAGCTTCCTGGTCGAAGCAGGTTTCACAAAGTCTGTCTCTGAATATGGAGTGTGTGTAAATGATATCAACGGTGTCAGTCAAATCATTTTATGCATCTATGTTGATACTTACTCATTACAGGAGCAGACGAAGTTGAGATAATGAAGGTAAAATCGAAATTAATGTAGGAATTCGAAATGTCTGACTTAGGGAATCTTTCATATTTTCTAAGGATGGAATTCAAAGATACTGAAGAAGGAGTATTCTTGCATCAAACAAAATATGCCCAAGATATATTGAAGAGGTTCAATATGAGCAATTGTAATGCAGTTGTCACTCTGTTAGAAACTAGAGCAAAATTGAAAAAGGAAACGAATGATGAATTTGTAAGTTCGACCATTTATAAACAAATCATTGGATTCTAAAGATATTTTTGCAATACTAGACCAGATATCTACCAAAGTGTAGGATTGTTGAGTAGATTTATGGAGAAACCATAAAAGTGTCATCTCATCGCATTAAAGAGGGTGTTGAGATACATAAAGGGAACAATTGATCATGGTGTACTTTTACCAAAGAAGTCGAAGAACAGCACAGATGTCGAAGTTCATGGATACACTGACTCAGATTTCAATGGAGATCAAGACGAAAAGAAAAGTATTGCATGCTACATCTTCATGATCGAATGTGTTCCAATCTCTTGGAGTTCAAGGAAGCAAAGCATTGTGACTTTGTCATCATGCAAAGCATAATATGTGAATGCATCATATGCGGCAATGCCAAGCGGCATGGATTGAAATGTTACTTGAAGAACTCAGGATAATGGAACCTAAGAAGATGAATTTATTTGTCGATAACAAGTCAGCTATTAACCTGGAGAATCAGCCAATGTGTCATGGTCGAAGTAAACACATAGAAATGAGATATCATTTTCCGAGGGATCAAGTCAACAAAGGAAAGTTGGAGATAAAGCATTGCAAGACAGCAGTACAACTAGTTGACATATTTACCAAGCCACTAAAGAAAGTCAGATTCGACGAGTTAAAGAGAAACATTAGGATGAGAAGTCTCGAGAATATAAATTAGGGGGGGTTAGAAGTATAATTCTTGTTGTGTCGAAATACATGTGTATGGTGTATGTCGAATAGCTTATTGTATAGGTTATAAGCTGTATTCGACAAAGTCGAATACAACAGATATTGTAGTATGTCAAAATCATACTTTGGGCTTTAGCGTGTTTTGTCTAATTGGGCCTGGACATTGTTTGCCTATATAAAGGGCTACTGAGTTTATAATCACAAGAGAGTAATTAATAATAGATTTTTATAACTCAGTTAGAATCACAACAAACTTTCAATATCTCTCTCTTCTTCTTTCCCTTCCATAAATCATCTTTCTTGAAAATTCTTTGTTTCAACACAAATGATATAAGCTTTGTAAGCAGATTAATAGGCTAATTAAGCCTTTGGAAATGTCAGATTCTAGTCGAAAAATAAACTTATGATAGATCACACATCAGACTTAAACTTTAAATTTTTTAATAGATCAGACTGAGACTTGACAAAACCTAACTCAACCCATATTTTTTTCACCTCTATTTGCAACTTGTTTGGATTTGGATTCATCGTTATCCCACCCCATGCCAATTAACTTTCCAATTCCTACTTTCGGCTTAACTCTTCTACTTGTATTTTCGGCTTTAACGTGCATTACCACCTTGCTATATTTATCTAGTACTAATTTTTTACTTAATGATTAGTTATAGATTTCCAATTATACTTTTATAGAAACATCACCTTAATTCTAAACTTACCTAAAAAATCATTGACCAAAGTTTTATTTACTTCTGTAGAGTTCAAAAAATGAAGCTCGCGTATTCATCATAGAGTGCCAGACCAAAAGATTAACGCACAACATGTGTATTTTGTTTGTGTTGAAAAGGACTATCTCAATAAATATATAATTAATTGGTTTCATTGAGTCTAATCTCATAATATTTGTATTTTCCACCTATTAAGTCCAACACTCATGTAAGCAATTTTGTCTACTTCTAATTCACATTACAATTTCAATAATTATTAACTTGAATATTTTAGATTCATGATTAGCCTCTCTCTTCTATATAAACACCACTGAAATAAAGATTCTAACAAGTACCTATGTGAGTGAACCTTTATTTCATTGTTATCTTCCATGAATGTGATGGAGTATGATCAAATTGATTACTCATTCACCCCTCCATTTTTCCAAACAGAAGATATCTTATCTCCAAATACAATCCTAAATGAAATACTATTTGATCAAGAGGATCAATCACAACATCTCTTATCTCCAAATATCATCATAGATGAGATCTTTGATCAAGAAAAGTCCATTGAGGGATTGTTGCAGCAACATGAGACAATGCCTCTCGAGAATGAATTGTGTCAAGGAACTTCTGAAAAAGGCTGCGAAAACGTGCTTGGTTCAAGAGAGGAGGATTCTTTTTGGAAGGAAGTTCAAGATGAGTTAATGGAAGAGACAAGTCTAGTTGATCTTTTGCTGATAGGAGCTGAAGCTGTTGAATCACGGAACATGACACTTGCTTCTGACATAATCAAAAAACTAAAGAATGCGGCGTTTTTAGAAAACGGCGATAGTTTATTGAACAGGTTGTGTCCTTTCTTTACACAAGGTTTGTTTTACAAAACTACAGATGCTCTTAAATTCGACTGTGAACATGTTTCTACACAGGCAAGCACGTTCTGTGTGTTTCAGATACTTCAAGAGCTCTCTCCGTACGTAAAATTTGCTCATTTCACAGCAAACCAAGCAATTTTCGAAGCTACAGACGGTGTTCAACATGTTCATGTCATTGATTTCGATATCATGGAGGGAATCCAATGGCCATCGTTGATGGTTGACTTTGCAATGAGAAAGAACACTACTTCCCTTAGAGTAACAGCAATCACAGTGGATCAGCAAAGTGCAGCCTCGGTTCAACAAACAGGAAGAAGGCTAAAAGAGTTCGCGGAATCGATCAATTTTTCATTCGTGTTCGATACGATGATGATGGCGAGCGAAGAAGATTTTCAAAGAATCGAACACTGTGACACGCTTATTGTCAACTGTATGATACATCAGTGGATGCCAAACAGAAGTTTCTCATTTGTCAAAACTTTTCTCGATGGCGCAAGAAAATTATCACCAAAGCTTGTTGTGTTAGTTGAAGAAGAACTGTTTAATTATTCCAGACTCAAATCCATGTCATTTGTGGAGTTTTTCTGTGAGGCTTTGCATCACTATATTGCAATTTGTGATTCACTAGTGACTACTTTGTGGGGTAGGCATAAGATGGAGTTAAGCATTATAGAGAAAGATGTGTTGGGAGTTAGAATCTTGGACAGTGTAAGACAGTTTCCTTGTGAAAGAGAAGAGAGAGTGTTGTGGGAAGAAAAGTTTTTTTATTCATTGAAAGGGTATAAAAGTGTTGGTATGAGTACATATAATATTTCACAGGCTAAGTTCTTGGTAAGCTTGTTTGGTAAAGGGTATTGGGTGCAATTTGAGAATTTTAAGTTGGCTTTGAGTTGGAAGTCAAGACCTTTGACTTCAGTTTCAATCTGGGTACCAATAGATTCCATGAGTCACAAGGTCAAATAGATTGAAGCTTAGTTTTTTTTTTGTTTGTAAGACTTGTTTTGTATTTATTTAATTATTGAGATGATTATGGATGGATAGGTGATTTATTATGAAAGAAATGTGTAATTTTTGTAGCTCAATTTATGTTCAAAACTTACTTCAGCCAGAAGCAAGACAGGATCCATAAATGAAACACTTTGTAAGGTTTCAAGATTTCTGAGCAAATGCCAAGAGTAAGACATTCTTAAACACTGGCGTTCGGTGCGGTAACAGAGCAGGCTGAGAGTTTACATGTTATTGCAACTTAACAGTCTGCAAGATGAATAAACTATACCAGTTGAAAAGAACCATCTACTTTAACATACTGACAAATTGTGTGCTGAAATTGGCATAAGGGAACATGACAAGGAAAGTTCCAAAGAATAATGTAGCCAACACATAAGCATCAAGAATAATGTAAAAGATGCCACATTTCAATAGCCAACTAAGGAATTGGCCAATGTTTGAAATTGTAGGCACCCAATAGAATTGAAAGGCCCATTGCACACATTCTCACCCAATAGAGATGCCTTTGCATTCAAAATTTCAGATCACAGAATAGGATGTTGAAATGGAAGTCGCTCCATAAGAAACATCTTCGAAATGTACTCAAAATATCAGAAGAGTGAAATCAATGTTTTCTTTTTGACACTAGAGTTAAATCAAGTTCAAACTTTAAACTTGTCAACATGCACTATAACACAAGAACAACCGAACCCTATTTATGATTCAGTCACAACAATGGCATTGTCTTGATCAAGTAAACATATATTTGCACTATAAAAACATAATTTTTAATACATCTTGTTCATTCTATTTATTCAATGAAGTTAGATTTCGCATTGTAATTGACGGACAAGTAAAAAATGACTCATCAAAACAATTTTTTCGATAGAATTCATAACTCAGATATCTAGAATACAAACAAACAAAAAAACGCATGAGTTACAAGTATTAATCCTTATACCAAGATAACAGATCTTGAGAATTCTGAACCTAAACTTCGGATCCAGATTTTGCAGTTCGAAACCCTTTCTTCAATTCCGCCATTCTTTTCATACAAGCTGCTTTGGATTTTCCAGGAACAGCAGCAGCGACTTTCTCCCATCTCATTGCAACATCTTTCGGAAAAGCTTTCAGAGCATTCAACAACGCAATGTCCTCATTCGAACTCCAAACACTCTCAACTTTCTCAACCGTGGCGAATTCACCTCCTTCTTCAACAAGTCTCTTATCCAACGCTTTTCTCTTCTTAAGAAACTGCTCATACGAATCCGAATCATCAACCTTCTTCTCCCCTAACTCCTTCACCTTCTTCACCACGCTCTCTGCTTTGTGCCGCCCTCCGAATGCCTCCGCTATCACCTCCCATCGTCCTGGTTTCCCCACCGGATGTTTCACAATCTGCTTCTTCAGAATCTCAATATCCTCATCGTTCCATTCCTTCTCCTCCTCCACAACCGCTGTCAACGCAACGCCGTTTCCGTTTCCGTTTCCATTTCGATTCTTCAAAGCACCTCCGTTTGAACCTACCGGCGCCGGGAGAACTACGGACGCAACAGCAACGTCCTCCGATCTGCGCGGCTTAGATCGGCGCTGCTGAGATCTTTTTCTGACGTCATCATCCTCAGATGAAGCTTCCTGATCGGGGAAGTTAACGATGTGACCACGGCCGACGCGGAAATCTCCGCCGGTGATGGAGCTAGGAGCGAAAGGTCCGAGGAGAAGTGAGAGTGCGAACCAGAAGAGAATCGATCTGTAAGGTTCTGATTGGAAGATGAAGATAGCGAGAGAGAAGAAGATTGAAGAGAGAGCGATGGTTACAGCGATGAACGGTTTCGTTGGTTTCTCGTGAGGCTGTGATACAGTGGGCGCGGGTGCACCGGACTGAAACAGGAACTTCGGTTTAGCGTCTTCGTCCAAAAATTCCATTTTTCTCACAATCAATCTCGCTCTTTTGCTCCTGCATCAACAAAACGAGAGAGCGCGCAAAACGACGTCGTCGTCTGGTCTAATTTTAGTTGGGCTAATTGGGCCTTTTTTTTAATCGGGTGTTCTTTACTACACTCGAATGTAGTGATTACACATTTTATGAAAATTCTAAAGAAAATTTCTTTTTCCACCTTTCACTTTATTAGCCACTTCTGATAAAATTTCATTTTATTTTTAGAATTCACAAATTTATCTCCGAACACACTATAATTTATTTTTTTGGATTATTTTCAGAGATGTATTGTTGGGAAAAAAAATCAAAATCAGAGGTGTTTTGGAGATACAATTATAATAAGAAATACGAACAATCACCCTCATTCTCATTTTTGCAAATTTTAACTCTCAAACACTCCCAAAAACCTCAAAAATCTCTATTTTCAAAACTTATTTAAGTTTGCCCACTTATTTGCACTTGTTACAAGTCACTCCAACTCTCAATTTCAACACATTTCAACAACCCTAAAAGCTTCAAATTTAAGTAAGTTATACAATCTCTTTTAATCTTTTGCATTTCTATTTTAAGTTGTTTAGATAATGTTCAAACTGTAAAAAGCATGTTTTTATGTGTAAAAATTGGATTTTGGTGAAAGAATAGTGTTGTTAGGTTGAAATTTGGACAATGAAAGTTGCAGGGTTTTTTGGAGATGTATCTCCAAAAACCCCTCTGATGTATTTCAGAGATGCATCTTCGAAAAATGTTTGGGCTTAATTATTTTTTTAATTTTCTAAAATGTTCATTTTCGTTCGCTTACCTTTGATTTGATTAAAGGTTATTTATTTTTCTAGAATAATGGCAAAGAATTCCAACAGATTGAGACTTGGTAGGCCTAGCCAAACAGTATCTGCTCGATGAGAGAGAGCTAAGCAGACTACGAATCATTGAGGATGCGGTCGAGTACTGCGGGTGGAAGTGGAAGGAACAATGACTTCTTCTCTGAGGAGTTGACTTTCACATGCGTCCTCGTCTAGGGATTACAAGGATGTGGAACGCGGGTTCAGGTTCCGGAACCCAAAATGGAGTTTGCTCTAGAACCCGAGGAGGAGGAAAACCTGGGTTTTGTAGGAGGATCGTCTGACACATCCCTCTTGATCTATTATACTGATCATGTCGCTCAATATGTTTCAGTGGAACAGGTATATTAATTTTTGTTATAGCTTTCATTTTAACGATTTATGCACTAATATGTTTAAATTTATATTAATTATTTGTCTTTACAGGAACGACGGCCACTAAAGTGTGTGAACCACGCGCGAAAGATATATGAGTTGCATCACCCTGATGAGGATTGGTTCAGAGAGGTTGTTTTTTCCTCTGGACTTGCCGACCTTTGTTGTTCCGGTTACAGCACCATCAGCCACGGCATGCACGGGGTTTTTGTGGAGAGGTGACACAAGGAGACATTCTATTTCCACTTCCATGTTAGGGAGATGATGATCACACTTGACGATATCGCCTACCTGCTACACCTTCTTATCAGAGGGAGGTTACTTAACCACTCTCGGATAGATCGTAAAGATGCGATTAAATGGATGGTCGACTATCTGGGAGTTGATCCAGAATAGGCATTTAAGCAGGTTTCCTCCACCAATGAGGCTAATGCCAAGTTCTCATTCCTTAATACGTTATATCACCAGCACCTCTCTATGGCAGCTGATTCCTAGTCAGAAGGAGACGACTTCTTTGTTCTTTATCACCGTCAGTGTACTCTGAGGTGTTACTTTATGTTCTTGCTTGACACATCCATTTTTGTGCACAAAAGCGCCAACTATGTGGATGTAGCATACCTCCATTACTTCATAGATTTGAATAGGGTGAGGTATTGGAACTGGGGGGCTTCATTTTTGGTATACATGTACCAAAAGCTGAATGAAACCTCTAACTGGAAGACATGACAGCTGATATGCTCTGCTACACTGCTGACGGTAATTATCATTTCAACTATTACATTAATAATTGATCTCACTTGATCAGAGATGGACCGTCACAGCTGGGTCGGGCAGAAGTTGAGTGAGATGGGGGGAGTACTTGCAAGACACTCTGATGGCATAGTAAGAAGCAGAATGAGCAAGCAAGTAAGAGTTCTGAGATATGAGTTGAATACCTGACCCTCTCAAAAGAAAGGGTATTTATAGTCCCTAGCGCTGGGCTAAGATCTCGTTATTGGGTTGATCAAACAGGCCCAACAAAGAGACTGTCAGATTCTACTTGTATAGTGGGGACCCGCACGTGCCACCCTACCTGGATAACGTTCTCTGCAAGACATGGAGGATAGGTACACGGTCTTTACGGGACCATGAAGACTCTGTGAAATCCGGAGAGGTTGGAAGTCAGTCCTGCGAGGAAGGTGCTCGGGAGGACCGCGTGCTCGTTAGGGATGGTCTCTGCAAGCACCGTCGGGAAGCGGTCTTGGTCGACAATACATTTGTGGTTGGGGTATGCTCGATGGAAATACTGCTCAGCGCAGCAGGTTGGCAAGCTTGGATTGGGCCTCACTGGTAGTTGGGCCAAGGGCAGGCCCAGTCCAAAACAGGAGCCCCCAAGTTGTTGCTCCTGGTGAAGGAGTTATGACTTGATTCAAGTTTTCCCCTCCACGAGACTCGCTGCGCGACACAGGGTTTTTCTACCGTTGACGGAATACGTCGCCTGGTTTATGATTTGCTTCGTGCAACGGTCGAAGAGTGTTCGAGGATGGCTCGTGGGGAGAGGATGATACACTAGTCAGACACGTGGTGTGGCTCTTGGAAACCATAATGGCGCCCTAGGGAGTAGGGGCCATCATTGTCTATGCGAGTAGGTGTCGAGGATAAAGGCGGTTTGTGATTCACCGACGCGATGTTTCATATTCCACGTCATCTCTATAAATAGGGCTTCAGGGCCCATAACTTATTTTTACATTTTCACGCTCTCATATTTTCTCTGTCGTCAACACCGCTCGTTTTCCTAGTGTCACTGAGACCGCCACACAGTCTGTCGTGTACTTATCTCCACAACCATCGTTCCTCACTTTTCCCCCAAGTAAGTGTTCTTTTTCTTTGCTATCTTGTGTTATAGATAGATTTTGATGGTGTTTAGTTGTAGAATTTCATGTCTGGGGATTATGCCCGGGGAACTCAAGCGCTTTAGGCGTCTGATTCATGATCATGCCCGTATTTTCTGAGTTTACTTAGGACGCCTTCCCTATGTACGAGATCATATTTAAAGATCTCGGGCTTCGGCTACCTTTCAACGAATTTCAGATAGGAGTGTTCAATCACTTGAACCTGGCTCCCTCCCATATTCATCCTAACGCGATTGCCTTTATCCGGGCATTCGAACTCACATGCCGCTTCCTGAGGATCGGGGTAACGATTCCCCTGTTCTTTAGGGTTTTTCACCTGCAACGGAAATCCTGAGGAGGGAAGCATAGCTGGGAGTCCCTTAAGCAGTCGAAGAGGATGTTTAGGATGTATATGGATTCTGTTCGAGATTTCAAGGATAAGTGGTATATTTTACAACCGTCTACTCAGACATCAGTGGATTCGCTGTTCGAACCGGTTGCTGTGGTGGACGAGGACGGGGAGCCGTGTTTGGATTCTGAGGGTAATCCCGAGATTGGGAAAGTCTTAAAGTTTCCCATCTATTGGTGTTCGGGCTATTACGACTATGGACCTAGATACTACCACACTCCCGCTGGCGATATGAGCACCGAGGACGAGGAGGCTTATGGTGTCCTGAACAAATTTGTCGATGGTTTCTTCCCTGCTCGGTGGGTTACGAGGGAAGGGAACGACATTCTTGACGAGGATGGCGAGCCGACGTTCGAGGCACATTCGATCAGCACCAAGGCGCTCGTCGAATTCCAGTCTTACGGGCAGGCCGTAGAGCTCTTAGGTTTCTTTCTTACTCTATTTATAGCCTTCTTTATTTGTTTTCTTCAATGTGGCTAACCCAAGTACATTTCCTTTGCAGGTCACATGGCGGAACATCGAGAGAGGTTGCTGAAGCTGACCCAGGATAAGAATATCAGCAAGAGGTTGGTGAAGTCGCAACAAGCCACGTGAATGGGTCCGACTCCCGAGTCGGGCAGGGATGGATCCAGTGGGTCCTCGGGTTCCCATGACACTGAGCGTCAAACTGCTTTGATTAGCAAGAAACGGAGTCGACCAGAAGGTGGAGTCGAGGTGACCGATGGAGGGGCGGGTGCCCGGGCCTTTAGCCTGCCACCCTGTTTTATGGAAAAATATTTCTTTTAGGGGTTTCCCTCGACCGTATCTGACAACGAGGCCGATATCATCAGACGACTCAACAAGGAAGGTCAGAGGAAGCACCTCGCTGCCAGCATGATCGGGGTGGTGAAAATGGTCGAGATGGCAGTTTTCCTTGCGGGAGAAGGGTCAGACTCCTTGGATCGGGTCAAGGAGTTGGAGTCGGAGAAGGCAGCTCTCGTGGCCAAAACCCGCAAACTAAAGGTTGCTCTTGAATGCTCTGAGGAAATGTTTAGGGAGCAGTCTGACGTGATGTCGGGGGAGAAGGAGAGGGCCGACAGAGCCCTTGAGGATAAATACTGCCTTCAGCTTGATAAGGAGCGGTTGGAGAATGACAACCAACGGCTGTTGAGAGAGGTCAAATATCTGAAGGTTGTTATGCTGCCCGCAGAGGACGAGCCTGAAGGGGTGGCCGACTTACGAACGCGTGCTGACTTCATCGCTCGAATTCAACTTCTGGAGTCGGATTGTGTTAACGCTTTGTCCGATGGCTTCGAGTCCACTGTGAATCAACTGTTTGTGCTGAATCCGGGGTTAAATATTGAAGGGACTGGGGTTCTGTCCCAGATTGTCGATGGCTAGGTGGTGCCTCCTCCTGACTCTCCTGACGTCGACGTTAGTACTCTGGGGAGTGATTAATGCTTTTGTTGGTGTATTTGGGCATGTGTGTCCGCTGTTATTTTGGGGCCTGCATG